GTCTTTTACTGCGTATGCGTGTCACATCAGTGCTGTGTAGCGTTCACACAGGGGTCTGATGCAGGTCACATTTAAAATGTAATGTGAACGTTCACACAAAAAGATTGGATTTTTTCAAAAAATCGGAACTGAGCATTAAGACCTGCAGTGTGAACGTAGACTAAGCCACCCCCCCACGCACCCCCATCCCAACCATCCACTGGTACTGTCTGTGACAGCATGGAGGAGCAGAAACGGAGACCAAGCAGGGCAACGGCTCACAGCCACCATGGAAACTAATAGATAAACAGCAAGCTGAACCAGGTCTGTTTCACAAATTATCRGTCCTGTTTTTACAATAAAGTAATAACTTTAATTTCATTCAACAATCATGTAAAACAGCAGATATATACCAGAAAAGTATATAATTTATAAGTAACAATGATCTAATCCAGACCTGAAATCAGCCTGTAACTACACTTTTTAGCTACCGTATTTTTTGGACTATAAGCCGCGACTTTTCCCCTGAACTTTGAACCATATGCGGCTTATAGTCTGGTGCAGCTTATATGTGGATTTTTTTCTTCAGCCACCAGGGGGCACTTTAGCCGGAGGTGTGGTTGCCACGAACAAAAAGGAAGAAGAAGAAGCACCATTTTGTTTTAGCTAGTAGTAGACACAACACGATGGACTATTCTTCGACAGACACGACAAAATATTTCTCTTCAAATTCAAACAGGCTCATGGAAAAGAATAGAAGATCTTCCTATGATGCCGCTTTTAAGTTGAAGACTATCGAAATTGCTCAACAGGAGGGGAATAGAGCCACTGTACGTAAGCTCGGCCCGGGTTCTGAAAGGCTGGACTGCTACGTGAAGAGGGCACCACAGCTTCAGAGCCAGCATTACCCCGGGAGGACAGCGACACAGAAAGCAAGGCTGAACATACCGCTGTGTGACGCAGCTTTTCTCAGCTTGTTTAACTCCGACACTGAAGAGGACTTCGATGGTTTCAGTGCGCCGGAGGAAGATGAATGAGACGTTTCGCTGAATGTTTTGTTGGATCAGAAACTGTTAAAGAAAACTACCAAAATAAGGTCAGTAAAATGAACTGTATTCCTCCGAACTTTAATCCCTAAAAGTTTGCTTTTTATGTTTTGATGTTGAATTCACTTTTTTGATGACAATTTTGGGTGTACTGTTTTTTTATGTTGGGGGTGAGGCCTATAGTCCGGTGTGGCTTATATGTTAATGTTTGCGGGGTTTTTTTTTTTTTAAATGGCGGGTGCGGCTTATAGTCCGAAAAATACGGTGGTTGACAAATGATGAATTCAGTTAGTAATAAAGTATATTCATTATTTCTTATTATTGTCATAAAAATAAGAATATTTGTATTTACCAGTCAACAGTTAGAAAATGTTCTCAGGTTATGGGATGAAACTTGTCTTTATTAGCTAACCATCTTCTTAACAGGTCAGGTTCCTCTAACAGAAACCTAAAAATATTAGTTTACACTCTGCAGGTCTAAATATTAATCAGAGGACAAATCAGCTTGGGATATTTGTTTGTGTTAAAATGTTGCATGATTTAGCAGTGCTAAACTCTGTATATGTCATGTAAAGTCATGTCAACTTTATTTATATAGCACATTAAAAGCAAGTATAAAACTGCACCAAAGTGCTGCACAGAGAGAACAATAATAATAAAACAGAGTATCAAACAYACTCTAAATATGAAATGTTGGATTTACTTAACCATGTTCTGTGACCTGGTTCCACTTAASTGAGTTGAGTAAATTCAAAGCAACATGCTCATGTTCTTTGGTTTAAAAACTGGTATATTGCTTTGAATTTACTCAACTCAGTTAAGTGGAACCAGGTCACATAACATGGTTAAGTAAATCCAACATTTCATTTTTTACAGTGTACTTCAATTAAAAGCCAAAGAATAAAAATGAGTTTTAAGAAGYGATTTAAAATGATCCAGGCTGTGGGCAGATCTAATCTGGAGAGGTAAGTTGTTCCATAAAACAGGAGCGGCAACAGAAAAAGCCCGATCTCCAAGCCTCTTAAGTCGAGTCCAAGGAACTGTCAGTACTAACTGGTTATTTGATCGCAGGGTTCTGGGCACGGACCGGAATTCTAAAAGATCCCGAAGATGGGGGGTGGGGGTGGTGGGTAGCCCATTTAAAGCTTTATAAGTTAATAAAAGAATCTTAAAGTGTATTCGAAAAGGAACAGGCAGCCAATGTAAAGATGCCAGTATAGACCTTATATGGTCATGCTTCCTGGTTCCTGTAAGGAGCAGTGCTGCTGCATTCTGGATCATCTGAAGTCGCTGCATCTGTGATTTATCCATGCCTTTATATAATGAATTACAGTAATCCAAACGACACGTAACGAAGGCATGGACAAGTCCTTCTAAGTCCTTAAAACAGAAATAAGATTTAACTTTTACTAAAATCCGCAAGTGATAAAAACCAGATTTAACAACAGAACTAACTTGTTTATCTAATTTTAAAGAGGCATCAAAGGTGAAACCAAGATTTCTAGCAGAGGTCTGACAGAACCGAGCTAAAGGACCAAGAATCTGATCTAAATTTGTAGTCTGAAATTTTTGACCAAATAATGTAACTTGAGTTTTACTTTGATTGAAGTGAAGAAAGTTCTGTTCCATCCAAGATTTAACTTCAGCCAAACAGTCTGTCAATAGCTGAAGAGATTCATTTGTACCATTTTGTAGTTTAAGGGGCATATAAATCTGGACGTCATCCGTAAAGCAGTGAAAGGAAATATTAAATTTATGAAAAATCTGACCAAGAGGCAATAAATATAAGATAAATAAAATAGGACCTAAKATTGAGCCTCGGGGAATGCCGTGCTTTAAAGGTTTAGCCCCAGAACAGCATTGGTCAAAATGAACAGAGAAAGTTCTGTTTTCCAAATAAGATTTAAACCATTCAAAWACTGGGCCTCTCAAGCCAACACAATATTTTAATCTATGTAAGAGAATCTGATGATCTACAGTGTCAAATGCAGAGCTCAGATCTAGAAGTAATAAAACTGCAACATTGCCCGAATCAACTATGAGCAGCTTTAAACCCTGACTGAAACTTCTCAGTTATGTTATTATCTTTTAAAAACTCTTCAAGCTGCATAAAAACTATTTTCTCAAGAACCTTAGATAAAAAAGGGAGTTTAGAAATGGGCCTAAAATTTGCTGGTTCATTTGAGTCCAGATTCGTTTTTTTTTTTTTAAGAATGGGTTTAACGGCTTGTTTAAGAATAGATGGGACACAACCTGATATAACCTGTATATCTGCTCCACAAGCTAATATCTGCTAACTAGTTCGATAAATAACAGGGATTACATCGACTTTATAATATTATTTTAATTTTAAACTGTTATGAAGAAATTTTGTCAGATTTGTATTTTATACTTTCTGATCATTTCAGTCTGTAAGGTTGAAGCTGACAAAGAGTTGGTGTGTGTTATCATGTGTTCTTTCTCTTGGCCTAAACAAAACTGAGTGACGTTCTGACGTCTGACGTAAAAGGTAATACCTCTGGGGTGTAACCAGGAAGAGATGAACATTATAAGCTCAATTCATTATTATAGTAGAAAGAAGTTGTCAGTGTTTTTGCRGAGTGTCTGCTCAGAGCAGAGCTCCCGTGTTTGTTTTGGTTTGGCCCAAGGTTGTACGCTGAGGCCTGTGCTGCTGAGCGCTGAATGAAACTGATTGGAGTCAGAGGACACAAGAAATCCAACTGAATCCTGTTTATTCGGACATACCATATTAAAACACGTATTTCTCACAGTTACATTATGTTCTGCTCAGATCACATTAAGCTAAAATTAGATCAAATCTGTTTACTTGTGTTGTGAAATGAGACGTTTTCCTGTTTATCTTCTGTTAATAAATCCATAACACAAACAGCTTTTCTGACATTATTTAAAACATTAGATAGATTATATAAACTGTAAAATATTAATAATAATTGGGTTAATATTATTATTAAAAGTTTTTATTTCTGCATCGTCTGCCCTTTTTTTCTGCTCTGTTGTCAACATGTACAGTTATGGGAAATCCAGACTCTTGACCGTTTTGTGCTAGCCGTAAGCTTCACCAGCTGAGCACATGGTCACCTGATTTCTGTGCACTCCAGCTGTTCTATAGAACCTCCTTGCCACTGCCTCATTTGGGACAAGACAAACTCTTTGTAAACACAACATTGTGCTGAAGGGAAAAGCACTTGGAGGCTTTGAGATATATATATATATATATATATATATGAGCAAGAGAGAGAGAGAGAGAGAGAGAGAAAGAGACAGTAAAATTATCTCTAAGAACATATCAGAGAAGGACGAAGATGCAGAAGGTAGTTATTGTTTTTAATACAAAAATGACTTTAGTTCAGCTTGTCATTCATGTCATGTAGTACAACAATAGATAGTGGATTTATGATTAAATATTTTTTTTTTATTTTTACTTTAACACTCTTGTATGATTTCATTTTTTTATATTTTATTCAATTTCTTAAACAGAATCCTGCTTTTACGATAGTCATTTTTGAGCATTTATTTTATTTTTCTATATTCTTACTGTTCTTTTGCACTTTGTCAAAATGTTTTGTTTGTGTAAAGCACTGATTTGTCTTGTTGCTGAAATGTTTTATATAAAGCTGCCTTGCCTCAGGTCAGCAGCACAATAATTAATATACAGTGGAGTGATGATGAAATGTTCCGAATTATTTATAGACTATACGTTTTAACCAACTTCTCTTTAACTTATGATACTGGTACACTATACTGCACTACTCCATGGCCAAGACAGTAAATCATACTGAAGACTGGAGCCAGGTGGAGAACAAACCTTCAGATGGTTGAAGTACAGGTGGAGAGGTCTTCATTGTCATGATTGGCTATTGTTGTGTTCATGTTTGGTAATTGGCTGCGTCAATGATCCTGCACATCTGAGTAAGATTCTCCTGATGAGCCTCTGGGGCTTAAAAGGCATTCAGACTGTCAGATCGGCGCTGATACATCGTACCTACTTGGTAGTATTACAGCCACATAAGCTCTTATGCTAAAGAGAATGGTTCCTCACCTTCATGTCCTGTTCCCAAGGTGGATTATCCTTGCTGATGGTTCCTAACCTTTGTGTCTGCCAAGAAAGAGATTTCCAGTCAGGTTTGACTATCRTTACCTCCAGCCTAAGCCAAATGCCTCGAACACCTCCTTAAGTTTATGCCACACTGCCTAAAGAAAGCTCACCTGTGTTTTYRGATTCCTCCTCCGTTTCATGCTGCTCGCCTCCTGAAGACCTTTAAGATAAACACTTTAATTAATATTTAATCATTCCTGAAAACAAAGATCTTTCAAGCTTCAAGATAGTCACCTCTCCTCCTCATTCCCTTACAGCTGTTGACCCTTGTTGCTGCACCTGTAAATAAAGAGCACTTACCTTTTTGTATATATTCTGTCTCCTGGTCTGGTTCTTGGTTCCGGTTACTGTTGAACATTTTGCAACTCTTATCATTCATGACCTGCAGAACATCAGGACTGATGCTGGAGCTTTTTGATACATGTGTGCATTAAGGTGTCAGAAATACTCAGAAACACCATGACAGGCCAGAGCAGAGAGATGAAAATGAGTCAATGAAAATATTAATTTCATTTTAGTGACCGTTGAAAGAAATGTCAGTAGTAAAAATTTATTTTAATAAAAATGAAGTATTTATGTTACAATGTAGTAGTAATAATAGTAGTGCACTATATTATGTGTTTAAAAGTGTTGAGTTATTTATGATGCCTTTCATTTAACATTTTAACAATTTACTGCCACCCCCTTTTTTTTTTTTTTTTTCATTGTTTCGTCTATCACTCACAGCTCATAGTTAGGTAAAAACAAAAGTGCTGAATATTTAAAAAATATTAAAGTAAAACCACCATTCAATGTCAAATAAATGAAAACTACTAGGTAAGCTTTAATATAAACAGATTAAACATCCTGAGTTTAAAAAAAAATATGTCAAGGCCTGCTGTTTGACTTCCTCATCTCTAAACGGGACATTTCAAAACTGTACATTTGCATTAACTGATTTTTTCAGCATGACAAACGCAGAGCGCAGATGTGCCCAGATTGAAAAAGAGGCACTGGCGCTGACATGGGCATGTGAATGGTTTCAGTCTTACCTGGTAGGGATGGACTTCCTGATTCAGACAGATCATAAGYCGCTCATCTCCCTACTAGGAAGCCAAGCTCTTGATGACCTGCCACTTCTTATATTAAGATTTAGATTACGACTGCTGCGCTTCACATWTAAAATTGAACATGTCCCAGGAAAAAAATTAATTTTAGCAGATGCGCTGTCTAGAGCACCAATACAAGCTCCGCTTACAACACAAGAAAAACAGCTGGAGGAAGATGTGTGTTTCCGTTAATCACATTGTGCAACAGTTGCCAGCATCAGAAGGCAGGCTGGTACAAATTAAAAAAGGCACAGGAAATGGACAGCCTATATATGCAGCAAACTTAAAGACTTAATACAAACAGGGTGGCCGTCCAGCAGGAAACGTCTCCCACCTGAACTTCAAGTACTGTATACTGGCAGTACCACCAAGACCTGCTTATTGCAGATGGACTCTTGCTGAAAAGTGACAGACTTGTCATTCCAGCCAACATGCAGGAAGAAATGCTCAACCTGGTGCATGAGGGTCACCAGGGTATGACAAAATGTATTGCCAGAGCACAACAGTCCATCTGGTGGCCAGGTCTGACCAAACAAATCAAGCTCAAGTGGAAAACTGCACAACATGTGCGCGAGAGGTTCATACTGGGCCGGAGCCTCTCATGACGACACAACTTCCTACTGGGCCATGGCAGAGGGTCGCAGCAGATCTTTTCCAGTAGAATCGTTCCATGTACCTAGTAGTGATAGATTACTTTACCAGATACATAGAGGTGGTAAACCTTACCTCTACTACTGCAGTCCCAGCGATCAACAAAATGAAGGCGATTTTTGCTAGGCATGGGGTCCCTGAAACCCTTATCACAGATAATGGCCCCCAGTTTTCAGCAGCAGAGTTTACAGCTTTTGCAAGAGACTATGATTTCAACCATGTAACTAYGAGTCCTCACTACCCACAAAGTAATGGGGAAGCAGAGAGGACTGTGAGGACGCTGAAAACTCTCCTAAAGAAGGGGGAGGATCCACACAAAGCTCTTACGGCATGCCGAGCTACACCCTTGGCACAGGGTGCATCACCTGCACTGTTGCTGATGGGTCGTAACATCAGGACACCTTTGCCCATTGGTGAGGAGAAACTTCAACCAAGATGGCCAAACCTTCAGATCTTCAGGAAGAAAGACCAGGACCTCAAACAACAACAAGCTTCCTGGTTTAACAAGAGACACAAAACTCAGACAAAACAAGTGCTAAACCCAGGACAAAGGGTCTGGGTAAAGAACACCATCAACTCTGGGATTATCAGCAGTCCAGCCAATACCCCACAATCCTACAACATTGACATGCCATCAGGACGTCTCAGAAGAAACAGATCTCACAGAAGAGTGATTCCTGATGGTTCTACAGTCACCAGGTCGGGCCGGATTGTTCACGTCCCACAGAGACTGGACTTATAAACACCACTCCTAGAATAGTAAACTGTGGCCTACAGGGCAGAATAATCCCTGCACAGCTTTGGGGATCCAGGTAGTCAGCCCTGACCCCTTGACAATTTCTATGTTCCATTTGTTTGAAAAGAGGTACAGTGCAAAGTAAAAAAAAAAAGGAATAAATAGAGGACTAAGAAGTTTAAGTATATATTTTCACTTGGTGAAAAACATTTGAATGTTCATGTGTTCAATACATTTATAATGCAGCAATGGTAAATGATATGGACACTAAGCTAAAAGGGGGAGATGTAATGTGAGATGTGAATAGGAACAAATGTGTTGGTGCATGTCCAGGGGTGGGACGGATTAGAAAGGCGGACTGGGCTGAAGGGAACTGTTAATAAAAGCGTGTTATAAGAGCCACTACTGTCTCCCAGCCTAATTGTCTAAACATGGATGAACAGACATAATAATACAGTATTATATTTTAATTTTAGTTTCATTTGTTATTGCTTTAATGTTTTATTATTAAGGTTCACTTTATTGATGTGTTGCATTTTGTGAATAAACATTAATTTGAATTCTTACAACCATTTTTGTAAGTTTCTGGCAGGAAGCTGTGATTATAACTCTGACCTGTGGGGGCAGTGTTCTTTAATATTTGCTGACAATAACCTTCAATTTTCCAGAGTAAATCCAGTCAAATGATCCAGACGTGTCAGCTGTTTAATATTGTTGTTATTCATCAATATGTGTGTTGTTTGTATCAGGGCTGTTTGTGTTTGCAAGGAGTTCAGAACGTTTCTGCAAACAGACTTTCACCTTCATATCTGAAGCTCAATATTTGATCAGTGAGTCACATGGAGAACAGATCAGTAAAGATCAGCTGCAGCACCTTTTTAATCATTAAACCCTAAAATGCAAAAGAACCTGCTCAGGTGGTGAACSTGACGTTTGACCTGAGCTGCAGCAGCCAATAATGTTCTGCGTCTGCTTTTTCTGGTAAATCTGTTTGTTTCAGGTCAAAACTGGCAGAAACTTTTCCACCTTAGAGCCTCCAGAGGGAGGATTTTCTTTCTCTTAAAAAAAAGAATATATTTAATACAAAACGAAATTTATAAAAACTTTAATCTTAGAACTAAGATAAATCCATACATTTCTGACTTTTTTTCCTGAAATTCAAAGTGTTTCTGACAAACATCAAACACRTCCCACTCGTCATACTTTGACCTCTCAGTCAATAACCTCCACCTCCTCACACACRCAGGGATCACAAACAGACGGACTCTGTTAGACCGACTGGACACTTCTGGTTCTGGTTCTGTTACCAAGTCTGGATGATGGTGGAAGGAACATTTAAAGGAGCTGTGGTTCTGCTGCTGTTGGTGCTGCCCAGCTGTGTGGCTCAGGATGGTACTGTACATTTACTCTGCTTTGATTTCTGCTAGTGATGTCCTGTTACCAGCATTAGTACACAATGCCCAGATACTCAGAACCAATACCAGTATTGATACTAATTTTGATACTCGTTTGAATGTGTTACAATTTACATTCCACCTGAAGAGTTTGTCAGCTCCATGTTTAAGAAATGTAAGCAAGTTGAAAGAAAAAACATATTTATTATTTAACAGTATAAATCTTGCTGTGTTTGATTTGGTGCAGTCAGAGAGGCTGTAGGCTTTTAAAGAAGGAGCACGACCTTGCTCTAAATAAAGTGCTTTTAACATCACTGTGTAATGTTCTAACTTGGATCTAACTCAGGAAGTACTCAGTATCTGTGAGTCCTCWAACTGAAGTACTGAAGGGAAAAAAAACAGGTATCGATCGAGACAACCCTACTTTCTGCGAGGAAGAACAGGTTCAAATTTAGAAAAGGTGYAACAGAAGAAGACTGGAGAAAATAATCAGGATGTTTCCAGAGAATTTTTATTTTACGTTACCAAATTGTGCAAAAACTACCACTTGAACTTAAACTAGAATCATTTTATTCACAAACACTTTTCAGAGAATTACCTTTGTTGATTATTTTCATATGAAGAGCAAATTATTTTAAAATGTCTTCAATTTACTTTTAATTATTTTTATTTTTTGAACATGAATCTGATCAAGTGGAAAAC